CGAGAAATAGTAACGGGTAAAATACCACGTTACAACACAGATTATGGAACATCGATCCTTGATAATTCTTTTGCTGTATTCGTACACATTTTTGGTCGATTACTGCGATATTATTAGTGGAAATGAGATCCTTTTGGTATTTGAAACTTTCCTCATTTCTCAGCACTGCCGAAAATTCCACAGGTTCAGCTTTTTCAATTTTTTTCTTCTGCTGGTGCGGCCAAGATCTTAACTGGGGGACGGTACGTTTTTGTAAACACTCATTCGATTGAATGAGACGTTTCATCGCAAATCCTGTGGGAATTTTTCCATGCTTCAAATATTTGTTGAAGGCAGTCAAAACAACTTGACATTCTTTCTTATTCCAGCGGAATCTTGAGTCACCAGGGACTGTATCACTCATGCCTTGCGACGTCATTTTCGGAGGTTCACGGAACCCTCCGTCCATCAGCCCGCCCTCTGGCACCAAAACACCCCAAAATAAAATCTGTAACGAGCATCGGGGATGCCCGTTAGGATCCCCAAGAAAATTCAGAAATGGAGAGAGAGTGAGACAATTCGAACGTAGGCTAGGTTTAGGAAAATTAGGATCCCCCCCTTCGGGGTGTTTTAGGGATTTTAGGGTTAAGGTTAGGGGAAGCTCTAGGTTATTATAGTTCCGGCCCAAAAAGCCGGCGCTCCAAAGAAAAAGGGTTCTTGAGGGTTAGTTGGTACGGGTGGAAGGCCGTACGGGGAACACGAAAAATACCCCTATGGATCGCCAAGGGCTGTTACGGGTGGAAGGCCGTCTGGGATAGAATTAATCATCGTCCCGACGGAGTGCCAATAATTTTAAAATTAAGTATCGGTGGAAGGCCGCACGGGGTAAATCCAGCCCTTACCTCGGCGGAGTGCCAATAAATAAATAAAATTACGGGTTAGTGAAATAATTTAATACGTTTAAGGTTAGTGATTTAGGTCTTCTAACCCCATGAATCCAGGAGGATTAACCGAGAGAAAAATACCGTGGAAAGAAAAAATTCTGGAAATGAGAATTAATTCAAGTTTGAATTACTTCTCCCGCGAAGGGCTTGACCCAGAATAAGGTAGAGGGATCCACCAATCGACACCCGATCGATTGGTAGGCGTGATTAGGGGGTCAGCGCAACGCGACACTGACCTCCGAAAATCAGTTACGCATTAACCGCGGTAACATCCACACGTGAGTGAACAGGAGTGAGTAGTGAGAATTAACGAGTGCATCACTCAGGATACCAGGACAATTAGCTGCAGCCAGGATGGTCCTGAAGAGAAAGAGGAAGGCAGCGAGGAAAACGACCGTGAGTTTTTACGGCCTTAATTAAAGATTTTTCCCCTTTTTGGCGGCTCCCCAATAAATTATTGGCGGTAGTGAATTTTCCGAACCATGGAAATGGCGTCGGTTGTGTCCCCCAAAATTTTGGGTGGTTTTGAAGAGGTTGTGAAAGGTGTTTCCGAATAATCTCGGCCTGCATTATCCCCCAGTGCGGTTGGGAGGTCATTAGTGTAAATTGTTAGCTTTTGAGGGTTTTTGTATGTGAATTGTGAGTGAATTTGTCCACGGCCGACGAACAAGGCCCGTGGTTCTCCCTCGTGGCGCAATCGAGGCCGCCAACGAGTGGCTACGAGCAACAGGTGGGGAATCGCGCGTTAAATTTCCGCGTGGTTATTAATTACTTTAACGGGGTTAATTATGGGCCTTTACGCCTGAACTTTTGTGGGAGTGTGGGGAATGATGTCCCAGACCAGATGGTCAAGGGTTTTCCGGAATCTGCTGGGCAGATTCCGAGTTATTGAATTTAAAGTGAAGTTAGATTTATTTTGTGTATCTCTCCTCGCTGCTAACCGAGCAGCGTGGCATAGTGCCGTCTCTCTTGCTCTCTCTCTCGCTTGCGCTCACTCGTTGAGGGTCCGATTCCGGGAAATTATCGATTTCCCGGGCGCAAATAATATTTCGGTTATTCCTCGGATTATCGCCAATCGATAATCCTTGAGGCCGCATTCCGGTAAGATTATTGGATGCTGGTGGGGGGATATTCCGCGATATATTCGGT